CGCAGTCCGTTCGCCGAGAGATTCCGAGCCAGCTGCTGGACTTATGCGCTGTGAAATGCATAATGCGCGTCTCTCTCTCTGGCGGTGCGGGGGGGCTATCTCTAGGATGGTGTGAAACAAATGAAATTTTCTCTGTTTCTTCGTACGAAGTGATCATTGAGGCCACGCGCGCACAGAAGACAAAAGACCGCGCGGCGAAGTGTCGCGCATTTGCTGGCGACAATGCCGGCGTGTGACTTGGCGCCAATTTTCCGTACTTTGATTAATTAATTAACAAAAAATGAATTAAGGAATATAATTCTCTCGTTAATGACGTAACGTTTGTGTAACAACTTGCACCGAAAAAATTATATTCTTGTAAGTAGAAGATTTTATACTTAAAAAATCTTGTTAAAGATTTTAGATGACATTCTTCTGAAATTAAGAATATATTCTTTATTTAAGAATATAGTCTTTTTCGATAATGAGACATATATGTTTTTCTATAGAGGCTTTTTATATTCTAATCAGTATATATTCTTATCAATATTACTATTTAGAGGATTTTCCTCTTAAAATAAGAAACTCTTCTTGGCGTCTATTTTAGTATAAAATATACTTAAAGTAAGTGGGATATCCTCAAAACAAGAATACAATTTTTTCGGTGTGGACTTACGTTAATCCCGAAATTTTATTGCACACGACCGCGAAATCATCAATGTGTCTCGTCTCCGCTAACGATGTATGCGTCTTTTAACGAGGAATGTAAACAACCCCTAATGACGTTCGAACGCGAATCTATCGGTGTATATACGATAATCGATACGTTGGGAAAAAAAATTTCCAACTTGACGGAGATCGAGAGGCGTAGATAAAAAAACAAAAAAAAAAAAAACAAAAAAGAAAAATATTTTTTTCCACGTACACCGCGAAGTGCATAAAGGGTGAGGGGGAGGGAGGGAGGGATGGCTGTGAATCCGTATCCATCAATATTTTCATTCACAACCTCCGTGACAGAAACGAGCTTTGCCAGCAGTCACGTACGAAAACACACGCGACGTGTCGAGGTGAAAAGTAGGTAACTCGAGGTAACTGATCGAGGACCGTGGAGAGACAGCAGGTTAAACGCCGGCGATGGCAGGTGTCACGCGGTCAGTTGATCACTGTCAAATAGATCGAAATGGCTCGTGGTTATACGGTGCTCGCGTGTTATATAGGAAAATAAAAAAAAAACAGAGAGAGAGAGAGAGAATCGGCAAACGAGGAGGATTCTGAAAGAAGGAGGAGAACGTCGCGTCGCGTTTTACGGCACTTTTGAAGAATCAAACGCAAAACGGTGAAATAACTAATAATAATTTTATTTCTATTTTGAGCCTATCAGAGCCTGCAATGCGCAGTCCGATCTGAGAATTGAACCCTTCTTTAAAACTTTAGCGGGAAAAAAAGAAATTTCGGACTTCATAGCAGCGTCAAAGTGGGATCTACTTTCTCTCTTACTCCTACATAAAAAAAAAAGAGGAATTGAGGTTCAATGTAGACGCTAAATTTCGACTTCGGGTAGCTAAACTTATTGCGCGCGAAAGATCTAGAATATTACCCGTTACAATTAAAAGACCTTGGTTTCGAGGAGAGATTAGTTCTCATCGGAAACGCACTTGACTGAGAAGCGGCGCGCGATGTGTGTAAGTGAATAATATAATAAACACCAATACCGTCGACAAAATCTACTTTCTAACGAAGCGGTAAAGCAAAATCAATTTCACACAAATCTCGGATCGGTTTACCGCGGTGATGAATTTGATAAGACGACGGGAGATCGCGCGATGTTAATGAATATCGGAAGAAAAAGAGCACACGGCGGCGGGGACGAAAGGAAGGAACAAGAGAGAAGAGGAGAGAGGGAGGGGAGGGGGGGAGAGAGATCTCGGAAGAAATCTAGCGAGTCCTCGACAGCGCGCTTCAAACATCTGCCGGGCGCAAGATATCTTTCCCTCTCGCAGCCTCTCTCGCGGGGATTCATAAGACGACGACGACGGACTCTCCCGTGTACGTGCGAAGCCGAGGATTCGCGCGCGTGTACAACACGCACACGCGCGTTGAGCATTTTGCGCGCGCGGAGCGTGTGTTGTGGTACATAAATCATCAAGCGCCGCGGTAGCGCGCTGAGCGCTCGGGAATGCGCACGTAACGTTCGTTTACCGCATAGATGCCGATTCGAAACGTGGAACGAGCGCGCTATGTCGGGCAAGCGCGCGCTAACGGGCTGTCCGATAAATCATGCTTCGTGCATCGAATCAACGAAAATAACGCCGTTCCCTCCTCCCCCTCGACGTATCGGGGCCGTCGCGCATGACGTATCCCTCCGCGAGGATATATAAATCGGTATCCCTCTCTTCTTGTGCGTGTCCAGAGATAAGGGATTAAATAAATCGCCAATTAAAAACGTTCGCGTAGTCGCATCTTTGTTGCGCTCGAATGTAATCCAGCGCGCGCGCGCGGGAAGTCCGGTTTTCCTTGCGCGGACAACAAACGCCGCGTCCGTTAACGATCTCCGTCATGGATTAATCCGACGCGCGAGCTCGAACGAATTCTCGAGTATTCCCGCGGATGATTGAAAACTGGAAGTCGCGCTTATGTACGGCGCGCGGCGGAAAGCTGTCGCTTTACTTGGGAGAGAGAAGAGACGGTAATCGCCTCGGTCTCTTCTCTCCCGGGAGAAAAGAGAGAGGCGCGGTGAAGAGGAAAGGGGGGAGAGGAGACGAAAAGAAAAAGAGAAAGACTGGCTTAAACGCGCGACGACTTTTTTCCTATAACTCAATCACGGCCGTTATACGTTCGAAGACGGGATGAGCCGTAAAGTCCGGGCCATTAGAAACGCGCGGTGGTGCGCGCGTCGCGCGCTGCACGACAAATCGCCGTGGAACAAAAGTCTACCGTCCTACATTTCGCGCGCCGCCGCCGCCGTCGCCGCGAAACGGCCTACACACACGGCCCGGCAGATGCGCTGACAAGCGAGAATCGCCGTGAAGGCGTCGCGCTCGACAGATTGCACCGGCGACTGATTGATGCGCCCGCGAACAACAATCCCAACAGGCCCCGGCGCGGCAGTGCTGCTTCCCTATTCATCTTCTTCTTGCGCCCAAGCGCATTAGCGACAATACCTATGTGCATTAAGGCGCTTCTGGAGGGGAAGGAGGTGTATGTGTACGGTAGGGTACAACATCATACCCCCCCGTCAGCACTACCGCGTTTACGCTTTGAGCAAATGCCCGTGCGCACACACACACACACACACACTCTCTCTCTCTCTCTATATCTTTCTCTCTTTTGAAGAAAAGAAAGAGGAGAGAGAAATTTCGTGAAAGTACTGGTACTGTTCTCTTTCGCGCAATTAGCGGACAAATCGAACAATTCTCTACGCGCGCATGTCGCCGTAGCATTTTTGCGCGAAGATGTTTTTCTCGAACACGTAAAATGCATCGTCAAATGCTTTTCGAGGCGTTTTCCCGCCGTGTTTTTCAATAAGCGAGAAAAAAAAAAAAATATATATATATATGTAAATTAGATAAAGTTTTTGTCTGTTTCTAACAGACGGCGTTTAGAGAAATTATACTAATTGTGTAATTTATTGCACGCGTGTGTAATCTGTTATTTACTGCGTTAGCAAGTGTCGACGCGCGCGGAGTTTCATAAATCACACAGCTTTTTGAGCGGAAACACTTATTACACGTCGAATCAAATCTCTAGCGCGCGCGCGCGCGCGATTCAACGTGCGCGCGCGTTGCATGCGTGTGTATGTTTATTTGGTGGCTACTAACAAACAAACAAACAAAAAAAATACTCAATCAAAATGGGGGGAAAAAAAAGTATTGCTTTTTTGAATCATAAATTTCGTCCGTCGTAATTCCGTATTTTGATTGACACGCGATCACGATTGACGCACGCCCCTTCACAAAGGGAGAGGTATATATCTTTGACACACGTAGTATCGCTGTTATTAATATCCTTTACCTGATCGTACGTGCAGCCAACACCTACGCGAGCAGCGGGGGTTCCCGTCTTCCCGTGGAATCTCTCGTATCTTCGTCCGCAGTTGACATTTGACAGGCACAAGACGGCGGCGGCTGCGGCTGCGGCGGCGGAGATTCTTCTCGCGTGACGTCCAATCGATGGATGTTCGATTCCTATGATAATAACGTGTACAAAAAATAAGATAATTGCCGCCGAAGGTCGACAACCGCCTAGAATTTCGTGAGCCTCTCGTTTAAAACACGAAATTCGTTTTTTTTTGTTTTTTGTTTAAATTAATTCACAAGAAATCACATATAGAAGTAACACACTTATTTGTGATGAAACTTTTACAATGAAACTTTTCACACATTTAATTGAACATTTATGGTTGATTGTGATTAACGATATTCAGGTACACATAATATATCACTTACATGTATAAACATACATCTTTTGCAATAACCATTCTTTGCACTCGTAATAATTCGAATCTCATCCTTCCTCTCCTTATCGATCGATCAGCTTGTAAATTTTACATCTATACATATTCTTTACAATGTAGAATATAATAAAGAGAAATGTTTGAGAAGATTCTTGAAAATTTTTTTGTTATGTTTTTTTTATGTATTTATCTCTAAATTACACCGAGAGAAAAATGCAACACAGAGAGACAAGTGCAAAGAATTGAAACATACGTGACAGTTGAACTTACTTATTAAACATTAACGGCGAAACATATACGTACGCGCGAAAATATCGTCGTGACGCTCTTCGTCTCTAACATGTACTAAGTGTAACAAGTGTGCGAACACCGATATTCTCTTGTTAAATTCGTTTCGCCAAAACTCACGCTTCTCTTTTGTTTTAGTCGTTACCTTGGTCCGTTGGAGCAGAGATCGCGCAGAGAAAAATATTGATCTCACTGCTTTTTCAATTGCGGCACGGAATACATTTAATAAATTTTAACGGTTTTTTTTTGGAGGATAAGAGGAGATACGTTCGTGTTTCAGGGTCGCATGCCGTTCATGCGAGCTATGGGCATGGAGCAGCGGTGGCAGGATATCGCGTCACTTCTGTCCCTGCCGGGAGCACCGGATCACTTCGCGCATCCCGCACATCCTGGATATCCAGGACACGGTATAAGTCACAGTCATTACGAGGCTCAGCGCAACGTGTTACTTCACAATCCCACGTTAGCGCCCCCCGTCGGAGATTTGAATTCGACAGGACCTTATCACAATGTGGGTGAGTATCTCGCCTCGAGTTGTGATTCGTTCAATAAATACGTATATGCGTATATTTCTCTCTAGTCTATATCTAAATCTAAATCGAGTATCTATTGTTTAATGCGCAGACAAGAATTTTGCAATGCGAATAAACCGCGTCTCATCGAACGGTGTTCGATTAAAAAAAAAAAATGTTTATTGATAATGCCTCATTAGTAAGAGACATATCAATGGCCATCTATTCGTTGTACTGAATTATATGATTGAAATTTGCACATAGAATGTATGCGATGATTTGTAAATTCTGATAAGTATATCTTTGACAGTCTTTTCTATCTTTCAAAAATAGTTTTGTGTCGTATTTAATGTTTAAATATTATCTTTTTAATCTTAAGATATATTTGTATTTTCAAAACATGCATTAACAAAGTTTTATATCATTTTTACTTTACATACCTCATACACGCAAACACATCGCGCGCGCGCGCGCGCACACACACACACACATAGTTACATCGCCAGCCAAGAGACATCGATTTTTATAAAATAGGAGATGGAAGTATTGAAAATATTATTGAAAAGATTTCATTGTCTGAACTAAACTGCTCACTGTTACAGGTGGGTCGTCAAATTTGGGTTCAGCTGTGGCAACGTCGATGAATTTGACAAACAGTAGCGAGCCAATGGGTGCGGAAAGTGGGGCGACTTACAAATCTGAACCTAACGATATGATGTATTATCACGCACCTCCAACAACAGAACCCATCAACCAAACCGACGGATTTCTTTCGTCTTTACTTAATGACGAGGACTTGCATCTGATGGATATGGCCATGAACGACGGCAAGTATCTTTTTTTTTTTTTCTATATGCACGTGTATGAGGTGAAAAGTTCTTGGCCCTGACAGAAAAATAAATGTTTTCGGAGTACAATTCTTTTACATTTGGATCTGTCAAAGTGCTCAAAAGTTATTTTGCTGCGGAAATATATCTTGTCGTTCAATATTAATTTTTTACTTTCTAATTTTCGAACAATTTCTCAATGTTTGCAAACGAAAAAGTTGCACGAAGTTATATTTGATAAATATGGAACTCGCAATTATTCGAATCAATTCGTGAACTTTTATGAAACATTTGTTTTTTTCATATTAAAATAATTACGCAGCATCTACTCGCGAACTATTAACCTCAAACTTAAATTGATATAAGATTTATTTGGTTAACAAGTTCACTTTGACCGTAAGAAGGATCAAATATTTTGCATTTTTGTTGTTTTAATAAACATATTCAAGATTTAAAGATTGCCATTTCTGTATTAGGGCGAAAACCTACTCTCGTGTGTGCATGCATACAATTTTATTTACAGTGTAACGTACTTCTAAAAACTCGCATACTCACATAAATTGCAATTCTTTGGTAAAACACAGACTATTGGTATCAAACTATAAAATTAGTTTACTGCATGTATGTATCCTTTTATGCAAATTATATTTTCATTATTTTGTTTAATATTGGAAATCAAAAAATGAGAACTTAAAAAAATGGTTCAATTAAAACTTACTTTTTTATTATAAAAGTATAAAATTTTGCTATTATTTTTACATATAAAAATAACATAATGCTATATCAAAATATAACATAATTAACGGATTTATCAAGTTATTAGGAACTTAGAGTGTAGAATACAAGGAATAAATTTTAACTGCTCACTCAGTGAGAGTAGTTTAAATCTAAATACAGTATTTAGAATTATCCTAATTAAGATTAAGAAAAAAACAAAAAACTCGTGTATTTTTTAAAGAAAAAACAAGTATCTGTTTTTTATGTTCACAGATAAATGAGATACAAGCGCATATTAATTTAAAATATGTTGCGAAGTAGCTTAAACAAATTTCAGACACACAACTAAATGTTGTCTGAATTAGAGGTAGATGTATAAATAAATGTATACTTTTTACATTTACTTATCATATATACATCCCTAACGAGTAGAAAACTAAAAAATAAATTTAAAAAACAAACAAAATATCATTGATCCGTGTTAGGACTTAGTTATTAAAAAAAAGTAAACGTATAAGTTTTTGAAACGAAACAACGCTCTTGTTGTTTACCATACTTCTTCTGGTTCTGCTTGAACAGGCGGTACGTAACCAACATCTTCATACGCGTTGTTATCCTGCGCAAAAAAATAGTACAAAATGATAAAATTGAATATTTTCAAATTTGAAATTAGAAATATTTAAAAAAACAAAAACTTACTCCTCTAATATCTTCACCGCCAAATCTTCGTCCTCTTCCTGATGCAAAACCTCTGCTGGCGCCACCGCCACCTCCACCACCTCCGGAACAAGATTCAAGCCAGTCGGGTACCGGTTGATTTGCTTGTTTCAAAATCCTGACCAAATCTTCGGTTAGATGCCCATCGACATTTGGATCAAATAATGCAGTTGCCTTGCCACGGTTTCCTACTCGACCAGTTCGTCCAATTCTATGAACATACTCTTCAATAGTTTTTGGTAAATCATAATTAATCACGTGGGTAACATTTTTGATGTCCAAGCCTCGTGCGGCAACCGCCGTAGCAACTAGAATCCACATCTTTCCGTTCTTAAAATCATTCAGAGCTTCTTCTCGCTCTCTTTGCAATCTGTCGCCATGTATGCTAGTTGCCGGAAAATTGTTCTCAGACAAGAAAGCTGCAATGAAGTCTACATGTTTCTTCTGCTCCACGAATACTAAAGTACCTTCTACTTGTCCTTGTTCTTGCTGATCTTGTAACAAATTTTTCAGATGTTTTCTTTTTTCAGAAGCGCCGTTTGATTGCATAAAATTCTGCTCGACATCTGAGCACGCGCCGCCAACAATTCCAACAGTGAGAAATAGATAATTTCTCAAAAATCGACCTGCGAGTTCTTGTATTTCATATGGAAATGTGGCGGAAAACATAAGCATCTGTCTTTCTTCCGTAGGTGATATTGTATCGTGATCTACGATTTTTTCTACATCAGGCAGAAAACCCATGTCCAACATTCGATCAGCCTCGTCTAACACGAGAAATCTTAACGACGAAAGCTTGATTCTGCCTCTTCCGATGAAATCTAATAATCTGCCCGGAGTCGCGACTAAAACGTGACAACCGTTGCGCACTCTGTTCGCCTGATGCATGGTTGACGTTCCTCCGTAAGCAATCTCAGAACGCAGAATGGAACCAAGAGAAAATTTCCGAACTTGTTGAAATATCTGAATTGTTAGCTCGCGTGTAGGTGATATGATAATTGCCTGCGGTTCGCAAGAAGATTCAGTTTGTACTAAATCACGATAATCTTCCAACAAAGTGTGTAGAATAGGTAGTACAAATGCCGCCGTTTTGCCGGAACCAGTTTGCGCGCAGGCCATCAAATCACGACCTTTTATAATAATTGGTATGGCGTACTTCTGAACAGGCGTAGGTTTTGTGTAACTTGACTTTCTAATATTCTCCAACAACAGAGTTCGTAAGTGTGAATCTTCAAAACTATTTATTGGTTGTGGCGCATTTTCACCAGTCACTTTTACTTCAATATCGTCATATTTGGCAAAGTTTATACCCATTGACACGTCGTGTGCAAACAAGTTATTCTCATCAGTAGGTTCGTCAGGTGGAATGTAGATCTCTCTTTTCTTCTCACCGTCTTGATTGTCATCATCATTGTTTTTACGTCCTCTGCCTTCGTTATCACTATCGTTTCTGTTAAAACCACGGTCATTATCACCATTTCTTCCACCTCCCCTCCCACCTCCTCTTCTACCACCTCTTCCACCACCTCTTCCTCCTCTACCTTCTTGATCGCCTCTATCATTATCTCTGTCTCTTCGGAATCTGTTATCTCTCCTGTCATTTCCATCCTTCTCAGTGTCACCGTCATTGTTACCCCAATTGTTTTGGCCATTGTTTCTGTTTCCCTTCCACCTATCATCGCCATTATTTCTACCATTATAATGCGACCTATCTCTGCCTCTTCTGTTACCTCTGTCGTTATTGGTGTTATAGTTGTTCGTGTCATCCTGTTGAGTGCTAAAGTTATCTTGACTTTCTTCTTTCCACCCACTGTCTTCATTCCATCCATCTTCTTTCCATTCATCATCTGCATTATTTTTAATAGTATTATCTCCTCCGATAGGAAATTTTATGTCGTTGTTATTGTTATGTGGTATTGAACCACGTCCTCTGCCGCGGCGCGGATCATGGCCTTGGTCAAACTATTTAAAAAAATTTATATCTATATTAATAACTTGTGGTTTTTATTTTTAATTATTTATTCTCAACATATATTTTGACTAGATTTAAGGAATTTTTTAATTTTCTTACCATGGATGTATCTAGTGATGTCTGAGGTACGGGATCTTCATTCCATTCATCCATTTTGTCCTATAGAAATTTTATACACACATATACATCATATTATAAAACATTTGTATATAGATATAAAGATATGTATATAAAAATTTTTTGCAATAAGATTTGAAATATACTTCGATATTTAAAAGCATAAATATAAATCTGGAAACATTATAAATTTACAATAATAAAATATTAGTGCGTAAAAACAATTTTTATGTAATAACTTTTTAATCACACAAAAATAAAATATTAGAGAAATAAAATATCAGGAAAATAAAACAAAACTTGTAATACATATGTGCGTTAATTAAAAGATACATTAGTTGGAAAATTCTCTTACAAAATTTCTAATACATATGTGCATGAGAAATGTATATTATTACACAAAACAATTTTACATATTTTTTGAAACTCAGTTTACTAGAGTGCGCCCAAAAACCGGTTCTTTCGTACGTAGTTCTTGTGTCTTCGGCCCACTTGAACGTTTGAATGTTTTGGTATTTCGGTCGTTGAAAGAAATATGAGAGAAAAAAAAAAAGATTGTAAGGTCAACTCATGTTGCTTACATCTCTTGGTTCGGTTTTGTAACAGCTAGTATAGTGAGCCATCATCCTATAAGCCGGATACCGAGATAGCAAACGAATCACAAATGCAGAAACGACCAATAAACATCGATCAATCGGCTAATCAAATGCATTTTGCATTTGCTAAGTGAATAACCACCGCTTTATACTTTCCGTAGTTTTTGAATTTTTTTAAGAGTAAGATGTTCTCTCCCCTACTTTGGGAGGAACAGAACTAGAGTCCAAAAAATATAAGCAACACAAAAAAACCCGAAATCTCTAGCGAATATGTGGCAACAGTTATGATTTTTCTATTAAAATTTACTCGACATACAATTAATTGCGTGTTAAAACAGGAGTATAATTCTTCCAGCAGTTAATTGAAATCTGCGTTGCGCAAGTTTTCATTTTCAAAAGTTCAAAATATTCGTTCACACTTTTCTCGCTTGAATAAACATTTTAGCTCTAAGTTTTTTTTTTGTATCATCTTGTTTTATTTTGCCAGATAGAACATCGTAATAATCACACACACATACACACACATCTATTGTTAGATCACAAGCAAGGGAACGCGGACAAGTAGTTAAAAAAAATATATAATACGTGCACACAAACGTGTCTTGTTACAGTGAATAGATAGAATTTCTAAGACGTAAATAAAAAGATCAAGGTTTTCTTTTGTAATTTAGCATCATCATGCTGTATCGATATAACATAAACCATAAAATATATCCCGCGTATCCCATAAATTCTATATTGAACAAACTACATTCAACCAACGTAACGAGACTGGAATAATATTCTTTGGGAAAAATCAAACATTTTCACGTGACGAACAAAAAGGAAAATGAAAAAATACATCTCGGCAAGATGGCCGCGCCGGCAGTTTGGCGGCCGATGCGTACACGGTGTTGCTTTCTACGTTGCTTTTTACATACCTCGTATCTGTATTCGCACTATTTAGAACGTTTCCCGTGGACGGACCTCGTTTTCGGAATATGTATCCGTCGAATATCGCTCTTCGCGGTGTTAAATCACAGCTTCGGAGAAAGAATCGAAACGAAATTATTGTGCGCGCGAGTCTCTGATCCGCTGCCTTTCGCACCGTTTTCTGCTGTGCTTGCTAGAGATTTCTGCGCGGGTTTCTCCGAGCGAACAAATCAGGTTCCAGAAAACAGCGCAGCGCGCACGCGCAGTGATCCGCGCGCCCTCTAGCGGCCGAGGTCCGAACTTGCACCTTCAGCATGTCGTTGTCTCTTTGTCGATAAAGCGGTGTCTCTTCAACGTACAACTCGAACAGCCATATGTATCGTCTCTCACTGTTTTGTTTGTTTTTTTTTATTTCTTTTATTTTTTTATTGGAATATTTCATTTATTAGAGTACTTGTATCACTTTATTAGGGTATTATGTCTGTTTCCACTGAAAATGTTATTCGTTTTGAAATAAAGAAGCTGTAGGAATGTCTAGAATGTACACCTGCGGTGACTTTGTTCGCGCGAAAAAACCATTTTTCGCAGAACTACACACACAAAAAATATCTGAATAGGACTACGTGGAACGGGATTTTTCTCTTCTTGAGGAAGTCGCATATTTATACCGAAATTTTTACATGTATATGAAATAAAGTGTTAACATGGGTCGTGCAGATTGCGTTACTCAAAAAGACCCGACCATGGGTTACATAAAACTATTGATTTGTGGCATTATAGCAGTGTGCATGGAGAAGAGAGGGAGAGAGAGAAAGAGAGAGAGAGAGAGAGAGAGAGAGAGAGAGAGAGAGAGAGAGAGAGAGAGAGAGAGAGATAAAATAACAAGATAGAATAACAAAAGGGGAATATATTCTTTTTCGGTTATGCGACGCGCAATAGAGAATACAGACTTTTCTCATGCAAATATTATATATTATATATTATTTCAATGTGAAAATAAGTTTTACTTTTAACTTGGAGATATCTCGCTTAAAAACCTTCTTATCTCAAAAACCTGTGTTAATTTATCATAGCTTATACTTTTTCTCTTTTATGTCTGTTGTTTATTTACTGAGATATAAACATTTGTAGAAAGAGATATAAATGTCGAGATTTTGAATATTTTTCAACGTGTGAAACGTAGGTCAAAGTGTCTATAGTTTTTGTGTCGACCGTTGCACAGGAAACAACGAGCAAAATCATGTGGCGTTCGTAAAAACACAAGAAAAGAAATTGTGAAAAAGGGAAAAGCTACACAAAAGATTGCTATATATTCATAATATCGGCTTGAGAGATACGTACACGTGTGGACATCGGAAGATCTTTCTCGGTCTGTGCGCAAAATGTAACAAATTCGTGAAGTTTTCATCGAACAAATAAGTTACAACAAAAAGAACAAAATAAAACTACATGTAATATAAACATGTAATGGATATTTTACGTGTGATTCTAATATTATAGAATTTAATTTTAGTTTTTTTTAGAAACGCACATATACAGTTTTATGTGTGAAATATTTTTTACACAAAAAAAATCAGATCAGCGACTATTCTCTTCTCGTTGTTGAATTAGGTTTTTGCGTTCACACAATGTGTCTTCTGTCGTATAGAACGCAATTGGCACTAATCTATAAACGCTGAATCATATCTCACCTTCGAGCTTCTCGTATTATTTTCAAAGCACCTTTGTTCACACATAAAGCGCGACGCAAGCGCGATAAAAAGAAGTCAAGAATATGCAAATTACTCGGCACATACAACACAATTTTGATATAAGTAAAGTAACGTAGAATAGATAGAAGAAATTTACAAAATTTACTCGTTAATAATAAATTATACTTGTTAATTTATGACTAGTATCTATCAGCGTTTGACTTCTTATTAATGTTGTTTTATTTACATCTATAATAATTAAATTTATATATATAATACTTTAATAGTAACGCATTTACAATGTGGCACTGATATTTCTCACATTTCCATACAATAGCATTAATTCTTGCAAGTAGCAATTCATCTTTTTTCTCGTGCCAATGCCCTCGCACTTGACTGCGCTGTCTTGTTTTGAGATTGTTATTTGGTGTAGATTCTCTTCGTGTTTGGAACTCCGTTACAATATTTAGGAAATATCTTTGCAAACAGTTTCATAAAATACTATAATATTATTCTAGAATTTTTGTCTGCAAAAAAAGAATATATAGAAATATATATATATATTCCTTTTTTGCAGACAAAAACTCTAGAATATTATCATATTATAAAAAAATAACACCTTTTATGTTTCTTTAAATAGTAATTCTTATTAGTTGATGAATATTCGAGCGCTACTTTAATTCTCTACTCTTTCTTATGGTTCTGTCCTTTTATTATTATTATTATAATTATATATATATATATATATATATATATATTATATATATATTTTATTATTATTATTATTATTATTGTATATACATATATAGAAGAATATCATAGACAAGAAAGAGTAGAGAATTAACTAGCGCTCGAATATTCATGAACTAATAAGAAAGTAAGATTACTATTTAAAGAAACAGATAAAAAGTATTGTTTTTTTCAAAGAGACGATAACGATATTGTCGTATAACGTGATAATGATTTTGTTTCTTACAAATTATTAGATAAAGATTAGAGAGAGCGATAGAGAGAAAGACTTTTATCCAATTCGCGTTCGTGCGAATTAAAGAGCATTAAACTTTCGAATGTGTCGCCTCGAAAGCGATAAAGTACAGAAGTTTGAAACTTCATCGTATACAAATGATACGAACTTTGCACACAAGTGATAACGATATCACTTGGCCGATCTCATCTTCATCTTGGCAGGGAAAAAAATCTCGAGGAGATTTGCATCGAGTTTAAAATATCACGTTTTTAAAAAACGCTCCATCCTTCGGCGCGGATATAGCGCGGGGGAAAAAATAAATAATCGTAATAGCGCGAGCTCACGTCATCGGTGAACGACAAGTTGCGCTCGTGTTATCAAACTGAAGCTGCGCGCGTCATTCGCGCCATCAAGGATGCATACGTAAGCGTTTAGTACGGGTAATAATTGCAACCGTCGCGCAACACACGCGTGAAATATTTATCTCCGTGTAGGTGTCTCGAACGCGAAAAGACGAAAAAAAAAAACGAGAAACACAGTTGTTGCGCGGAGCGATATGAAAACTCGGTTTCTCTGTAACGTCGGTGCTGTTGTCGGTTGATGTTTTGCGACAAACGCGTGTGCCGAGAGACAAAATTCGGGAGACGTTCGATTATGTCGTCGCGATATTTTCACAGTACAATCCTGAGTCTTCGCGCGGTTTAGACGTCGCTCTCTAATTATCAAAGAGCTCTAGATAACCGTCTATATGATCGTTGATCGCGTTCGCGCAAAGCGAATATCGTTCAAAAATTTATAGCAATCTGATTGGCGAAGAAAAGTCGATCCATCAGAGCGGCGAGATCAAAAAAACACTCGCCGGCCTTCTTTCATGTAGCAAAAGTCAGATTTTCGCATGTAATTAGAGAGCGATAACAGTAGAAATCGTTGAATCACACAGATATACAGCCAACGCGACACGTTGCACACTCTTTTATCTTTATTATGAAATTATCTCGATAAATGTTTACAAAAACGGACTCGGCCCCGATGACTTTGACCTTGACACATGTTGCCAAGGACATGTCCCTGAGTAACAATCGAAAGGTTTTTAGCCGTCGCTCGCTCTTCGTTAAAAAGTTATGATCTTAAAAAGCTGTATCGAGTTTACGTATACTGTTTACGTATACTATCTGAACAGACTTAAATATGCATAATTTTTATACATAGAGAATTTACATAGAGGAAAAAAATATTGTGCGAGTGTGTTCAATTATTTATATATATGTAGAACTTCAGAAAAAACTTTGATGTGTAATAAACAAGAACGCGTGAGTATTCATACGTATGAGAAGAACTAAAGGTGGTAGATACTCCCTGCACCTCCCTCAAGAAAAAAATAGGGAACGACTTCCGATTACATGTCGCTTCACGTCAATAGTATGTATGTACGTGGTTTTTAGCGACACTTAATCAGAAGTCGTTCCCTATTTTTTCTCAAGGCGGTGCAGAGAGAGAAGCGAAGAGTCACTCCTCCTGCACCCCCCTGCCTACACGCTTACAAACAATTAACACAAACAAAATGTATATGACGTCGGAAAATAAGAATTTATTTATGAAACTTTTTTTTGTTTATAACTATTTAACAAACAACGGCTGAAATCTTTTGATTGTTACTCAGAGACATGTCGTCGACAACATATGTCAAGGCCAAGATCATCGAGGCTGGATCCGTTTTTGTAAACATTTACCCTTTACTTAATCAATAAAATTAATTATGTAAATTGTCGTATAAAAGAAGATATTTTAGAGAAACTTTTTCTCGCGATGTTGATTGAAATGTCATCAGATTCTGGGTTTTTTTTATCTCGCAGAGACAAAGATCTCGAAGTTGTATCGCTAGGATTTTCCGTAACACGTTTCGCAAGAAGAGGTCACAGTCTGCGAAGAAAACGGGGATAGAGCGACCGGTGCGTTTTGTCCGTGGAATTTCTAATTGACGATTTCTCACGAGTTGGCGCGACGTACGCGGATTGTTTTTTTCTTTTTTATAAACCGATACACGCCGGGGATATTTAACCACGAGAAGAGGGTATCGGATATTCGATCCGTCTGGAATTTGGACCACCGCGCGCGCGTTCGCTCGGACTCCGCCGCACGAAACCGATCCTCTCGGATAAAATACAAGATACGGGCGCGTGACATCGCCTTCGTCGTACTAAGTACACTTTTCACTTTGCCGTGTGATTTATCGATATTTTAAACGCCACGTTCCTCCGCAATCCTCCGGATGGTGCGCAATACGATCACGTGACTTCGCGTAGAGCTTCGAGACTTGTGAATGCAATAAATTTTGTGACCTTCGAGTGTACGTACGTTTTTTCTCGGAAATGCATGAGCAATAGAGCGTATCGAAAATAAGATTAAAATTACTTGTGCATAATAAAGAAAATTGCTGATATCATTCTAGTCACTTTTTTGTTACGGAAAGTCGAGCGCTGTTGTTGTTTTTTTTTTCCCCTCCCTCCGATAAAACAAGAGGTTCGCAAAATTTGCCGTCCGTGTGCGGCCGACTTATT